GGAGGAGAGCCCATCATAGGAGAACAAGCCCCTACACAGTGCATGTACTGTACCACCGGAGCATAACAGAAGTGGCTGATCTCAAGAAGTCCTACCAATGGCTAGAAAGGGCTGGCCTACAGGAAAGCACAGAGGCACTCATCATGGCCTGCACAGGAACGGGGCACTGAGCACCAGAGCGATAGAGGCCCAGATATACCACACCAGACAAGACCCAAGGTGTCGGTTGTGCAAAGAGGCACCTGAGACGATCCAACACAGGGTGCAAGATGCTGGCAGGGAAGGCCTACATGGAACGCCATAACCAAGTGGCTGGCATAGTGTACAGAAACATCTGTGCAGAGTCTGGGCTGGAAACTCTAAGGTCTAAGTGGGAAACTCCTCCAAAGGTGGTGGAGAGAATGAGCGTGCAAAGATCCTGTGGGACTTCCAGATACAGACCGACCAAATGGTAATGGCAAACCAACCTGACATTGTGGTGGTAGACAAAGGGCAGAAGACAGCCGTGGTGGTGGACGTGGCAATTCCTAAGCGATTAGGTAACATCCAGTAAAAGGAAACATGAAAAGCTTTGAGAAATACCAAGGTTCAGAGAGGAGCTGTGAGAGGGCCTGGAAGGGTAAAAGGTGACAGGTAGATAATGCCCGTGGATGATCGGTGCACTCGGGGCAGTGACCTCCGAATTAGAAGAGTGGTTACAGGGATCCCGGAACAACCTCGGACATCTCGGTCCAGAAATGTGCAGTGCTAGGAACAGCAAAGATATCTGCGCAGAACCCTCAAGCTCCCAGGCCTCTGGTAGAGGACCCAAGCTTAGAGAGGGATACCCGCCCGCGGTGAGGGCCAAAGGTGAGTGGACAATTTTTTTATCTTATTATTATATATATATATATATATATATATATTATATATATAATATATATTATGTATATATAAAAATACAAAACAATTATAATAATAAAGAAATAAAAAAATAGATATATATATTTTTATTTATTTTTTTATTATAATTGTTTTGTATTTTTAATTCAATTTTTTTTTATATATAAATATTAATTTATTTTTTTTTATTTTATTTTTTTTAAACAGCTTTATGGTTTTCCTGGACATAGACAGACACCGCTTTGAACTGCTGTCTAATGGTCTGAACAACACGCTTACCTGTCATGGACGTGGGTCTCTCAGCTCCTCAACGACCATGCCGACCACTCACCTCGCTAGCTTACAACTGAACGCTTCTCAAATTATTCATATTATTTATTTATTTTTATTGTTCTTCCATAAATCTGAAACCTATGTTTATGATATTTCTCCGTTGCTAAAGGTCACGTGACCACACTCACAGTGCCTGACCGTAAAAAATACAGTCTATGGCTTTTGATCCTATGGCCATTTTCACATGCTTACTGGACATCCTGCCTAGAACCGTTTGCTGTTCCAGGAGCAGATCGTTTTTTTTTGACAAGCAATATATCATTAATTATGCATGTAACTTAGTTATTACAGATATTTGAGTTCTTTTTATTTTGTAATATATTTCATTTTTTTTTTAAATCAGTTAAGCATGATTATTAGTTTATATACTTGATAGCACTGTGGAAACATTCCTGACCATAAGACATTCTCATGTAAAAGACAACATGTTTTTTTTGAGAGAAAACATGTACATAATTAGGATTACACACATTTTGCGTCGTCTATTTATCTTTTCTTGCACAGTAGGTGTAGACTACTGGCAATGGCCTGCTCACAGGTCTGTCCAAACAGGCTGTACATAAACCAAATAAATAAAAACACAACAGCTGCAGTACATTCAAATTGCAGCAGCTCGAGTCCTGACAAGAACCAGGAAGTTACCGACCACATTAAGTCCTGTTCTCAGGTCTCTTGCATTGGCTTCCTGTTGCCTCAGAAAATTAACTTTAAAACAAGCTCTAGCTGGGTGTACAAGTCTGAACCAGCCCGGACTCTGAGGAGCACAGGGACTGGGACTATGTTAGTGCCCAGAGTAGAACTAAACATGGGGAGGCTGCTTTTCAGATTCATGCTGCTAAAATCTGGAACAGTCTTCCTGAAGTTGTTGAGAACAGCCTCTCTCTGACAATGTTTAAAAACCAGGTTAAAAACGGTTTGTTTCGCTGTCTGCAAACAACTGGGGTTTTTATTATTTTTTATCTTTCTTTTTAACTGTTCGGTGATATATTTATTGATTTTAATGGCTTCTTTTTTGTTCAGCACTTTGGGGAGTTTCTCGTGCCTGAATGTGCTATTAAAATAAACGTGCCTTTTGCCTTGCTATTTATTTCTTAAACGTTGGAACGCAGTCAATTCAGGTATATTTATGTGAGCATATGAACCGCAGAGCTTGGACAATTTGGAACTTCAGCAATTCCATTTGAACAGAAATTGTACAAGTTTTACATTTTACGTGAAAATACAATATTGAAATCCCAATGTATCATTCAAATACTGTAATTGTCACAGTTTCACAAAAAATCCATCGATATAGCTGTGGCGAGTTGAACAATGAGTTATAATGATACTGACAGGCATGGAAGTCGACTGACATAGAAGACCTGGACACCAGGACAAAACTCTGTATCCTGAGCCGTATGCCGTAATGAGACAGAGGTTTCATTATTTGAACTAATATAAACGTAGAAGATTTAAAGAATGAGAATGTTTTATTATCATCATTCAATACGTTGGGAAAAATGTTGAGAGGGACTCCTGATTCTCCAGCTTCCCATTCTTATTGACTTCGGTAGGCATAAGACTATTTGGTGATGGTGGAGTGTCTTGATGGCTTTTGAAAAAGAAATTCAATGTCTACAGCTCCAATTAATTTAGATTGAGCCATACATCATCGTCAACGATAAACCGGCATATCCAAAAATATTAGAAAATGTATCCGCAATAAAACTATTTCTATAGTCTAATTGATGCTAGCCTGGCCTTAGCCATCTGTGCACTCTGGTCAATCCATCATTTCCTGCATGTAATATTTGTACCATGGTGTGGCGACGACCAGGCTAAAGTTGATGCTTTTAAAACATCTTCCAACGACGTTGAACAAGAGGTTATATGCTATAATACAAACTAAACATAATTGGTTGAAGGAAGTCAATTGGACAATAAATTACGGTTACACGTTTAGTTGCAGATACTTGGGTTACCTTTAGTCGAGTAATAACGATTCAGTGGAGTCAATATAAGAGCTTTTCCATTTTCCATGTCAGAACTGTGTAATAGTGAGACGGTTTGGCAAGTGTTATGGTTTACATACTTAGTCACCTAAATAGTATCTAATTTACGAGTAACTAGTATTTATAAACAGAGTTCCTACCGCTGCATTCAAGCTTCTGCGCATCTTTTCTCCCTGTGAGATGGTGGTTTGTGTCTGGCATAAGTGTCTCCACTACCTCCAAGTTACCATGCAGCTGAAAAATCTTTTGAGTGATCTCGTGATGCGAGATATAATATTTTGATGAAGAACACGAACCTGTGCTAAAACTCTTAGTTGGGTGTTGATGGCGTGCCCTAAGTGGTTTGTTTTATCAAGAAGACAGGAAGTTCTTAGTTGAGATAAGAAATTGTTGTTCCTAGGGGTCCTCTTTGTTCAATCTTTTTCAGGATGCCGTTAGGTCAGTTAATAAGCACGCAACAATGTGTCTGATCTCGGCTACACGATGACCTCAGACGGAACCTGCAGGATCCTTCACCAGTGAGTGGATGCAAAACAACTTCCTTCAGTCTAAATAATGATTTTTCTTGGTCACCATTGATCGAGATAGCATTAATTGTCATATCAGTCTCTCTTCATAAATCCTTTTAAACCGGTCAGATATCTAAGAGTCTTAAATGGACCTCTGAGATACATTTTGACAGCCTCATCCAGTAACATCATCAGCTTTTTATCTAAAACCTGGCAATAATAACAAAATTTGTCTCAAGCAGACTTTGAGATACCTATCCATGCATCCTGTATTCAAGAGGGCTACTGTACAGTGACTGCTACTGTAACTGTAAAAAGTTGACAAGAACCAAGAAGTTACGACTCCACATTAGTCGGTCCTCCGGTCTTTGCACTGGCTCTCCTGTGGCTCAGTGAATAGACTTTAAAAAGTCTCTGCTTGTACAAGTCTCTCCATAGCCTCGCGGCCAACAATATATTAGTGACATTGTTAGTACCTATAAACCAATCCAGGGAATCGGAGGTGCACAGGGGATGGGCTCGGTGGTGCCCAGAGTCGGAAGCTAAATATTGGGGACGGGCTGTTTTTTCAGATTCATCTCCCAGAGATGCTTGAGACAGGCGAGGCGTTTTACCCGAGTTGTTCTGTGATTAGTGTTGAACTTTTCTTTCTGTTGTTTTGTTTAAAACTTTGAGATGCTGTGTGATTTTCTTAACACTTTGAAGCAACTCTTTGTTAAAGTTAAACTATCATTCTTTCAATGTGCAGAAGCCAGTACTTTTCCTTGTTTGGTCTATCTGAGGCCTAGCGACATGGCACCGTGGCCGCTGTGATTGGAGGTCCCATGCCTCCGCTCTGTATAATCCACTTGCTTCTGTTGTATCTGTGTTCGTGTGGCTTTGTTGCGTGCTGTCTCTTCCATCGACTATAAAACCAAGTCCTTCTTCTGAAATTAAGACGCAATCCCAGTCTTGGCTCATCTTCTTCAATGACTTTGTTTATAAACTGTGCTAAAACTAAATTAAAAGTAGCCCATAGGTAAGTGCATTATTATTGTCATTCCGTTTAGCAGGGAAGCTAAATTACAATTTTGTAAAGGTCACAAATGGCCTATTAACACTGTGATCCATTGTTTCCATTTCAGAATATTCTTAGAATGATATAAGCTAGTATACGCTTTGGCATAAGTATTAATAGTAGCTATTGGACCTAACATCTTGCAGAGGAGCAGTGGGTCATCAGTGAATGGGTGATTATGTTTTATGATCACAGGTCTGTCCGGAGCCCTCACACACACTCCCGGGCATGAGGCTTCTCTTCCCTCTCTGTGGGTTGTGTGTTGTGTTGTCGGTGCGTCCTCTGCTGGACGGAGCAGGCCGCCCGCTTGCAGCCACCAGGCTGTGTGACGTCAGCGCGCAGGAGCGTCTCGGCTCGAGGCGAAAAAATGGGGAGAAGATTGCGAGGTGAGTGAGACACATTTCTTCTTTCTATGAGCGATACAGTAAAGACATTACGAGTGCGATAGGGGCTTTGGTATGCACTCATTCCGGTCTGTGCTGTCGGGGGGTCGTATCGTTGGCTGCTCCGGTGCGAAGAATTTTATGCAACGTCGTGAAGTCCGGCTCTGAGCTAGTGCTGTTGGAATTGGAGAAAACCCATGCACATGCCAGGATGTGTTCTTTCACTGGGCTCACCGCTGCCATCAGCACATTTTGTGATGTTCACCGGCATCTGCTCTGCTCGCTGTGGATCCATCAGTGTTCACTGTGCGAACCCATCCGCATCGGGAATGACATTTGGTGGTGATGCTGCTGGTCCTACACCCACTTTACACAGCGAGGCCACTCCACATGATCCATGTGCGCTTGCAGATATGAGCAGGCGCTTGTCAGCAATGGTCCTCAGGTCTAAATACGGTTACTCCCGTTTGCAATCATCAATCCACCACTGCTCATTGCGTTGCACAACTGCATTATGCCCTGTGCACCCCTACAGCGTGACAGGCGCCTCTCAGGTTACTGTGCACCTGACAATGGACTATTCAGTTATTAAACTGCCCTTACGGAGAATGGATTTCATTTTGAACACTCTGTTAAAGAGCCTGTGGGTAGGCCTGTAATGCTCACTATGACAATCTCTGAAGGGGAGTGAAACTCCTCAAACTTTGTGGCTGCAGCTCTGGTGCACATGGGATTGAAAAACCATCTGACTAGATTAGGTGTGTAGTTGTTTGGTGAGAGATTTGGTGGAAGGCTGGTTCCAGTTTAGCCAGGATACAGCAATACACAAGTACATACAGAAAGAGCAAAAACTTCCTTTTGTAACGGGAGATTTCTTAGTAACTGCACTGCACCAGTTAGCCTGTTCCATGTTGGATCATACTCTGTATACGTGACGTTAATGGGACAGACATATTTTTAGTGTGAGGCTTCGTTATTATTGGTGTATCCTAGCATTATTCAGCAATTATTCAGTTCACCTGGGAACATTATATGTCGACTCGTCTTGCTTTGACAAATTGGTCCTTAAATCACAATGTTAACTACCCTATGGGCCTTATGATCAATAATAAATTCATGTTTTAAATGTTGATTACCAACTTGTCCAAGCACACACGCCCCAATTGGATGGCAGAAGTAAGGAAATCAACTTCCTCTGCGAGAGTTTAAGCAAAAAACTTCATACTCTAAAGTGGTACCCCTCACATTTCCACCAAAATACCAGATGGAATTAGCATTGTGCTAAATCTGGGGCAGCCATCTTTTTAAATGTACCTGTCCGTTGTTCCTTTTTAAATAAATACTAACCTAACTTAACAACCCTTACCAAATAATATTTGATGTGACTATTGTCTTTCAGTTAACAGCTTGTTTAACAGTCTTCATGTACTGTCCCTCAACAAAAACTATGCAGCAGCTAATGTGTAGATTGCTGCCAACTAATATGAGGTACACCTGGGAGAAACAAAAACCCTAAACCTTGTGACAAATTGCCTACTTTGCACTGCTACCATTGATTTCAAGAATTGCTTCACAAGTTCTCTGGGATTCTCCGCACATCACCGAGCTGGTCAATTGTTCAAAAACAAGTAGACCTTATCTCTGCAGTAGATTTCTCTTTCTTTTTAGTTCCAAATGGCTGTAGATGGTGATCTGTTCTCACTAGGGTGAAGCTTTGTTTTGATGTGTGTGAAACTGAGAGAAAGCTGTGTGCGCTGCCTGGATCAATAGTGGTGTGTGTCAGGGACACGACTTTCCATCAGCGTCGGGTCAGATCCCAGCCCTGTCCTTCATGACTTTGAAAAAATTGTACTCGTCAACGTTAGATTGTCAATCTGGAATACTAATACTTTTCAAGGGGGCTCCCTGGTGCGGTGTCATAAAATATGCCTGTATGTGTCTGCTACTCATCTGTGATTTTTATCTCGTCTACTATTTTTTCTGCAACAAGCAGGCATTATCAGCTCACAGTAGCATGTCATATTGATACATGTTTCCCCTACGTCCACAGAGCTACAACTGTAAATTAACTGAAACGGAGCACTCAACAAGTCAACATTTATATGAGTGGTAAAAAGTCGTAATATCTAGTTTATTGGTCAAGTGTGGGTTGTTGCTCGTCTCATGCCAAGGCTTAGTGTCCAGCTGAAGTCAGTAATGCCACATTCAAGTTTATACTTCTGAAGTATTACCCAGACTTAACCATACTGACAAATGCATCAGATGTTGTCCATGGTGGAAATTGGTGAAAATCTACAATAAAATTCCCTTCTCACTCAGTTTTCAGTAAGTTAATAACAGTTCTGTTTAGCTGTGCATACAACTGAATCTGAATAGTCCTGTGGCTTTTAATGATTTTATCCCATGTGTGATTTTAATATCTCAAGATTTTTAAGTACTTGTGTGATTTTATTTGTTCTATTTTTGATATTTATTCTTACCTTATTGTGTGTTTTTTAATGCCCTGTGGGATTTTAATTGTATCTTTTAATGTTCATGTAGATTTTAATGAGTAACAGTATGTCTGATGTTGTGTAGGAAAGGCACTCTACAAACAAAAGTTGATGATTGATTGCTTTAATATCTTTGGACCAATTAGAGTGTTAATGATCATAATGATACAATAATGATAATTTAAAACAAAATATGCACTAAAGGGTCTGTAATAACTCCTCATCATAACTTTCTTACAATCAATTCAATATGGAGAAGTTCACAGAGACATAAAATGCTTTTATTGATTTATTGATTTGTTTGTTTGTCACCGGAGACCCCAGCTGCGGCACTTGGCTTGTGAAGATCATGGCTTGTGTGCCGCTTATGATCCCCCCTTGGGCCTAGGTACTGTTTCGGGCATAAGGGCTAGCTGGGAAGACAGAGTGCACTCGAAGGCCGAAGAGAAGGTGGGGAGGTGGTGGTTGTTAGGTTTGTAAAAGCGCTTTTAAACTTCCGGCCCCGCATTGGTTGGCCAGGAAGTTGGCAGCACCTAGTGATAGGCTAATGGTCGGCACTAGATCATATACGGAATCGGGACGAAACCGGAAGTAACAATCCTTTTTTTCAAATTAGTTTAGACTAAAAAGTCCTTAAGTGGTGACTGGTTAAGTTTTAGGCGTCTGATTAAGATGGTTATGGTTAGGGTTAAGGGTGGGTTGGGGTTATTTTATGGGAATGGCTGGTTAAGTTTAGGCATGAATAGGTAGTTTGTTATATTTACTTCCGCTTGCGTCCCGATTCCGTATATGATCTAGTGCTGACCATAGGCTAAGGTGAAAGGGGCCTGCTTGGATGGGATGGAATGAATCTAGGAAAAAACAAAAGTGTAAATCTAATTTGTCATTGTAATCCCCAGCTTGTATTACAGTTGTGTTTGCATTATAGGACTAGAGTAGAGGGCAATGATCAGGATGATCCTGTGCTTCTAAAGTTGGTGCTCAGAGCACTTTTACTAATGGATCCATTCTCACCACTCAAGGCCAATTCACTGTCCAGCATTTTCAGAGACTCTGCTATTTAACCCCTAGCTATTGAGAGTTCATATTCCAAGAGGACTGAACATATGGATAAATATTACTACTTACTGCCCATTTATCAAGTTTCACTAAACACATGGATATACTCAAAATATTGCCTCATTGTTCTTAATTTTTAAAGAACATGGGATGACAATGGTAGAGATATACAATAACATAGTAACCAAAAGGTGTTTGCTATTCACTCAACACCTATTGTTGAATGAATGTCCAAATAAAATATTTTCCTTTCTTGTGCAATGGTTTAATCTGATGACGCAACCTGTCTGCCTCGCCAAGAAAAGTTACAAATTATGCAAATATTGAACAATGTAACTGTTAACATGATCTTGAAATTAATTCTTAACTGTTTCTGTGTAAGCTCTCAGTCATACAGGGGTTAGTCAAAACAAAGGAAGGTTACTCACCCATCATCTGTACGTCAGTTAGCAGGTTTACCCGACGTTTTGTTCTTCTCCAAATAACAATGGAAGCTCAGTGAGTTGGAGATTTATAACCTGTGGGTGTGGTTAGACAGCCCCAGATCCTGAGGCTAACTCAATACCACAAGTTCTGATGTGGGAGGGAGCAGGTCTCACGACGCTGCTAGGACTAACAATCATGTCACATGACCTGCAGTCTGCTGAGATTGCTCGAATGGAGAGAAGATCTACCACTCCTAATTCTTTAGCATGTCGCATGTTTCTGTTTCTTTATCTTCTGTAGAATTAAGGACACTATAGTGTAGTGCTTGTCCCATTCCATGTGTTCTTTTGTTTTAAATATGTTTTCAAAGTTAATGTTGACATATTAAACTAACAGAACATGTTCTGATCTGTTTCAGGACCTTGGCAGTGCGACCCAAAATGACCCTTGATCTTTTCCACTTAATGTGGTTGTTTGAACGAGCTGGACTCGTTGGGTTTCTTCTTCTGCTGATTCGCTGAGGTCTTTCTGATTTCACCATGAACAGATCTGATTGGCACTCGACCCTTGGACTCTCATTTTGGCGCTACCGTTACACTGCGTGAGCGCCCCCTCTCTTCTTTGGCCGTACTGCACGTAATGGCCTCTTTGGACCTGCCTTACCGCTGTCCTCGCTGCGGGGAGCACAAGCGCTTTCGAAGCCTCTCGTCCCTTCGCGCTCACCTGGAGTACAATCACACCTATGAGACTCTCTACGTCCTGTCAAAGTCCAACAGTGTGTGTGACGCTGCTGCTCTGCTGCCCCTTGTGGCCGAAGGTGCTCTCATCACCCCAAACAACAATGACCCATTTGAGCCCCTGAGACCCTCAGCCCTGAAGGAGAGACATTTTCCATGTCGTGAACTTCCCTGTGCAGACGACCTCAGTCTAACTCCTGCTCACTCTAACAGTTCAACTCGCTATATACCCAATGTGGAGTTCCCCCTGGGAGAAATTTTTATGAAGCAAGCCATGGCATCCACAGACCCTGGTCCTCACGGTAACCCCAGCACGGCTGTAGCAGTAGCCGCAAATGTGGCAGCCAGTGCTGTAGAGGCTGCTTATGAAGAGGGACTGGCCAGGCTGAAAGCACGAGCCTTTGAGAGGCTGGAATTGGATGAAAGACTGGAAAAACTCTCTGAAGAGGTAACCACACCATTTTTACTTTGTGATACACAGACACTCAAAATTAATATATTGTCAAGTGATGTCATTATCTCAGGAATACAGTATTTATTTCGTTGAATGGGGAATTTTACAGACCCACATGCTTTTGTAATGTCCCTCAGGTGGAGCAGAAAATAGCAGCTCGGGTTGGTCGCCTGCAGGCTGAGCTGGAGAGGAAGAGCTCAGAGCTGGAGCGGGCCAAACAGGAGAGTGATCGTCTGAGCCAGGAGAAGCAGGACCTGGAGGACAAAGCCACAGAGCTGTCCCGCCAGGTGGACGTGTCTGTGGAGATGTTAGCCAACCTCAAGCAGGATCTGGTCAGCAAAGAGACTGAGCTCACTCACAAACAGCAGTAAGTGCACAATGTTCAATGGAACATGCTGCATTATTATTAGGGTTTTGTTTACAACCTTTGTTTGTCCCTAGCGGAGTAATTTATTAAACTTAATGAAATGTAGGAGGTCATAAATGCGTGTATAGTAGTTCTATCAAACCTTAAGAATTAGGATTGAATGCCAGCCTATTTCAGAACAGGTACTCCCACAGTGCCAGCCATTTCTGATGATTTTTACTGATTTTTAAAGACCCACAGAATATTGTGTACTATGACTATCTGAAATCCGACACCAGATTCTAAAAGAATGGACTGTCTACTTTCCTCAGCAAAAAGAATTTTGTTTATAGCTTTTTTCGTTCCCCTGTAATCCTCCGTCGAGTAGAGGGAAGTTTTACTGAAATCACCAGAAATCACCAGAAAGTTGAGAAAAAAGAGGCACAACATGTGCACCTACATGTTTTCAAACCATTCAGAGAGCAATGCTGCCACCTGCTGGCTCGATAAAATATGGTCTCAAGTCATCCCCATACATATTAGATACAATAGACATCTGGGAACGTGAAAATAGCGAAAAAGGCAATTGACGGATTAATACGTCAATGGCACACGACGTTACTATTTGCTTTGACGTATTTGTGCGTCAATGGGACACAATGAGTTAAATATTTAACACCTCAGCAATTTCGCAATATTTGTCCTTGTGATTACTTTAGTTTTTTAATTTTTATAATTTTTGTTATTTAATTCCCGCTCTCGACTGAGACACATCTCACTATAGCTTAATTGTCATTTAAAATCAGGATATATTGCATCGTGTCTACAGTATGTATTGTGATATGTACAGTATCTTATCGCCAGATACAAGGCTATGCAGACTCTCTCACAAACTCACAAGTGTTAAAGTGTTGTTTTAACAATGCTGTGTTTTGGTTCATATCAACATCTAGCCATTGGCGAAGGTTCAGTTGTACAATGGAAACTGACAGTTTACATACATTGTATAAAGTATAAATCAATTTTCGGTTTGACTTCAGGCTAAGACATTTGTCTTGACTTGGTAGTGATTATGGCACTTCTTTGGTTGTATTCTTGATATCATTATAGCGGAATTGTGAGTAGAGGAGTCCATCTGGAATTCTAAAGACATGGTTACATAGGTTATTACAAACAAACTAGGCCAGGTGGCCTGGATTGTCGGCGCCTTGGAGTAAAGAGCATAAGCGCTGAGAAATGAATTAATGAGAATGAAAGAACGATTCTTGAGCGTCTGAAGTGTTAGTGAAATAGCACCACACTGTGACAGCGAGGGTCAGAACAGAAAGGAGTAATCCCCCGTAGGAAACGCATTCCTTTGGCCCTGGAGCAACACACTCCCCTGTGTCCCTTGACCACGGTCCAGGCGCTCACATGAACGGTGTATCACAAGCAATATAGAATGTGAAAGTTGGCGACTGCGGGGAGAAACATGTCTGAACAGACTGCGCGGCAGAGGTGCAGTAGCACGCAGGCTGGAGATAAACAATGTTGAGTTTATTTCGCCGCGGTCGAACGTGCAGTACCAATCATAGAACTGTCTCAATGTGGTCATTGAGACAGTGGCTGTCTAGCTAGCAGACTGAAAGTACTTGTAAAACAGCCAAAACAGGAGCTTAACCAGGACTAAACCAGGACTAAACCAGGATTAAACCAAGACTCACAATGGGGGACACAGTGATTGTGAACATATGCCTCCAGCCTGAGTTCTCATTCTCCTGTGACTGGAAACAGGAAGTACTGTTTGATAATAAAACAAACTTATGGCGCACCTCTGTGGACACATACTGCTGTTAGATAAACAGCTCTGGAAGGTCTCAGACACAGAGGTGCTGCAGAGCTGTATTCTTGGAGAAGAACTTTACACAAAAAGCTGCTAGCTTCACTCCGTTAGCACCAAAGCCACCCGCCACTTCCGCCTTGCGTTTTTCCCCAGGACTTCAGGTCTGAACGCCCCCCAGCGGCTGAAATTTAAAGAATGTGCGTCCAGTGTGCGTGGAAGCTGCGTTCCAGCGTTTGCGGTCTGAACGCCACGTAAAAGTGGGCCTTATCTCAACCAGAATCAACAATTGTGGCCGTGGCCGGTTTTACGACCCTTTGGCTCCCTCCGATCAGGTGTGGGCCTCCTGCTGCTTTAGGAGCCGAGACTGTGTCACACCAACAACAGGGGCAGGCTCAGCGAAAAACAAAAACAATGCTCTACTACCCTCTTTGGGAGGGAGCAGTCCACCTCATTACGTTATCAAGAAAATAAAATGTTAATACACCTGTCTATTGTCATGCTTGAAATGTGCAGGATTTGATTTTTATAGATGTAGTATAGGATAGGCAAATACGCCAGGGACCCGCCCCCAAGGCAGGACTAGTTTAATGAGGAAGCATGCCTTCCTCTGACCCTCGACCTGTGGGTCACTCTCTCTTCCTGTTTTCTCTGCGCTCACCCCTTTAACCAGGTCTGCTGCAACTAAGTAAGTACTGTAATTAATTAATTAAACCACTCCATTGTGATTTGACTACAATTGCCTCGATGAATAAGCCCTCGGTCAATGAAGGTTTTGTACATACGTTTTTGATAATTTTAGTAAATTAACTTGCCGTCTTCTTAAAGACTGGTGCCTAATTAGGATTTAGGTTTTATCAAATACATTAGAAAAACACTTATAGTTTCCTTAGATCATTGTCCATTAGGAAGACTCATTCTCACCCATTCTAAATCTAATGATTATGTGATAGATTTATTTTCAGGCCTTTAAAAGGCCCCACGACTACCATTCCATGGGAACTATGTGCATCGCAGACTGCCAGTGGTCCTCCGCCACTCTTCCCTTTCCTTAGTTTTTTGTCTCAGTAGAGACTGGCACTGAAACAGAAGGCTCATTCAGAGTCTGAAAAAAAAGTAGCGAGCTGGAAGTGGAAAAAGAGCATCACGGTGGGTGAATGTCTGCAGCCCTTGGCTAAGCAGTAAGTGACGGAGCTGCTCACAAAATATGCTGCCCGTCAGTCAGTAATTTTGTAGTATCAGTGTTGTACTGTACAATATACACCAGGGGTAATTAACTATATTTGCCAGAGGGCCATAGTTTTACCAGACATTCTCCTCTAGGCCAGACCCCCAAAGATAAAATTAAATCAGATTCAGATTCATTTATTTGCCATTTGCAGTGAAACCACATTAGAATACATCGCCAAAAGTCCCGGGTTCACAAGACAAGTACATGAATAACACACTGTGAAATCGAGTTTCAATACAAAGGAAAGATCATTTATAGTGCTTTGTTTAAACTGATTAGAGCTTGCGGCAAGAAACTGTTAGCCAAATAAGATGTCCTGCATCTCAATGAACAATATCTTTTGCCAGAGATAAGAAGCTGGAACATGGCTTTTCCAGGGGCCAGAAGAGTCACAGATTATTATTATTAAAAAAAAACAAATCAAGACAATTTTGAAAAGCCAAAAAATTCCAAAGAAAATAAGGGATATAATGATAATAAAGTATAAATAAGTAAAATAAACAACAGCAAAAAAAGTAAAATAAGAATAATGATTTATATATCTATATATATATATTTTCGATCCTTTTGTAATACAGTCGACGGCCGGATCAAACGGCTCGGCGGGCCGGAGTTGGCCCGCGGGCCACCAGTTGATGATCAGTGATATACACTGTTGAGCAGGACAGTCAATTAAATATTGTAAATTGTGTAATCCAAGAGATACAGTATATGTCAGTATATAGTAAGTTGAAGTGCGCCTGATTGAAGCATGGATTTAAAGTGGTTAAACTGCTTTGCATACATAATATACCATACAACAACTGATGTAGTCACAGCTGCCCTGCTGTAAACTGACTTACTTGCGCCTTCAACCATCGCCAATCATTCACACAAACACTGACTGATACTAGGAAATTTGGGTTAAGTGTCTTGCACAAACACTTAACCCAAATTTCCTAGTATCAGTAATGATACTGATGAGTATCATAATGAGAGTTCGGTGTTCCCAGAGGCACCGCTCTGTGCTGGGTGGTTCTCCCACACTTGCAGACTGGCCAACATCTGCCCCTGGGTCTGAACCAGGAATGGACAAGGACTTAAATGGTTCTGAGTCAGATCTGAATTAGGACTATACAGGGACAAAAACAATAATTGATAAAAGGCCTGCTTTAGTGCATGTTGGTGCTGAGTTTGTTGTGCTTTGCAAGCCTTAGGAATAAAAATGCACTTGAGTTCCAATTTTTAGGTTTGGAGCAAATGCAACAATTGGCTAAGCGGCGCCTCGGCATCGATGTAAATACACAAGACATAAGACATGGGAGGCCCGTGAAGTGACTTTAACACTAGAATTATATGTTCCCTCCTCATTGAGATGCTTAGAGATCTTAGGGCATGCCACAAGCAGGGTATCACAGTCGTCAATGATCAGTTCTTCAGCATCAAGTTTATTTTTAAGCAAGGGTCTGATACATGTTAACATATAGAACTGATACTTATCTGATAAATAAGATTCAAACCAGTCAAGTGCAGATTGTGCCAACTATGTCACATTCTGGTCCCTTCCTGTGAAATGTTGTGGTATTTGTGTCAAATGGCGTTAAGGTCCAGCAGAACCAGCACTGAAACCAGCCCATTATCAGCAGTTAATTGTAATCCATATGTATCACCTTACATTGTAATAATGAATTATTATTTGGATTATTTTCTGGCGGTGGCACGAGTATGTGTGTGTGATTGTACTAAGATGCTGACAATAGCCTGTACAGATGTGGCTATTGATGGGCCTATTTCTAATGGAAGCAGAGCTAATATTATATTCTTCTCACATAGAGATACAATACAGTATCCTAGTCAGGACTGATCCTTCCCACAGGCTGAAGCGGTCGAATGAAGCAGAGATCCTTTGCTGCAGCAGGAGCAGGAGGCTCCTCAGGCTTTGTGTCACAGTTTTAGTAGCAGTGATTTGGAATGCAAAGTGAAGCTGTCAGA